CGTATAGAAGAAATGTATTTTCTAACAGCAACCACTATCTAGATAATACATTGCAAACAGAAAGCTAAATGAGATAGATAGATTCAAAACGTCTAATTTACGTGCATTTTTATTATACTAAGTGAATGGTAAAAAAAAAGAAATATTTCAGAAAACGATTATTTATTTAAACTATATAAAAGTTCAAACTGCAAAGGATATTAACTCACTGCGTTACGATTTAGTGATATGTATAGATTCATATGGTCATTTTTAGAGCATTTTCACTTAGAACACCATGTAAACACATCTATTTTTTTTCTGAAATTCCATACTTTTCATATCTTTTAGTTGAAAGGTCTAAGCATTTTTAATCCACCAGACACTTGAGAGAAAGATGTGTTAATTTTATTTGAAAGCTTTAAATCCACAATGATGGAGCGCAATCGTGTAAGTCTAGATTCTACGTAACAAAATATTAAGGCATATACAGTGTTGAACTAATTGCTTGTAAATATACACTGTGTTATGTTATTAATTTTTCTTTGCTATCTATGCTTGTTTTATTAACTCATACTACAAGTGTCTGACGTAAGCATTACTTTAAGTTCTAATTTTTTTTATAATAAACAACACCAAGTATATATATGTATATGTCACCTTGTATGATGAATTATTTCACAACTTTTTTAAACATTGGAAACACGTGACATAGTTGGATGATCAAAACATTAACTTAAAAATGGTCTCAAAGTGCGTTGAAAAAGAATTCATATTTGGGATTATTTGCTATGTTTTGATGCAATGAAGAAAAACTTACTTGATCAGCGCGTCTTAACATTGTGTTTATTTCCACATTATTTAATCGAGACTGATAATAAAAGCAGTAGATGCTTAAGTAAACACACATAAGAGACGCTGTTCAATACTGGATTACATTTGTTCTGGCAGAACGGTGTCTCTTTAAAACTAAACAAAAACTACAGCTATCGATTACAGCATGCATGTGGATGAGTCACAATCTATTCCATGCCACGCCAGTTCTGAGTGACGTCATCCTTCATTTTTAGTCCAATCGTGTATTATAAAAGCCAGTACAGACATGTCGTGAAACTAGGGGATAACGAATTAGAGGATAACGAATGTTCATATAGTTATATCTTTAACTTTAATTGCAATTCACTTTTGAATGAATTTTAAAACAGTTTCATATTTGCATTAAGTTTCAACAGTTGACAATTTGGCCACCTGCCAGAGTGAGAAGCAGCCTTCCAGAGACATAAATGAAATATGAATATATATATATACATATATATATATATATCACTGACGATGAGGGGAGGGGGTGCGTGTTTAAAGTTGTCTAAAATTCCTAACGGTAAATGCCAAAGCAGTGCTATGTTAAAGGTCCATGTCTAGAATACATAGAAAGTACAAGCCGAAACGTGATGCACATAACAATACTGTATATCATTAAGGTCCTACTGTCCTATATTCAACAAGATAGAGCAGAGTGAGGACCTTCAATTTTGATGTATTCTTCGGTGTTTTTTTTTCAGGCTATAAGAAATATGTCTTGATGAACTTTTTCAAGTTCGTTCATACTTTAGAGGAAAACACTATAGATGAAGTTTCAAACCCGATATGATTATTACTCTAGAAGATTTTTCACGATGCATTAGGGGTAACAATATACACTGACTTTATAAACTATTTTTTCATTAATAATAACGTGGGTCTGAAATCACTAAAGGCATTATTTAGTTTAACTAAAAGCTATCCGTGACGCAGTAAGGTAACAATACCATGCAAACGATTGGAACGCGCTCACGTTGTCTTTATTAACTATTTCTTCTGTTACACTTTAGTTTATCTAACAAGTATTTATGGTGATTTAGATTAACAATGCCCTGCAAGCGAATGAAATAGTAAAAGAATACCCTGCAAGCGAATGAAATGCGCACATAATATCATTATGTTTTTGTTAGTTTTTTTATATAAGAACACGAGTTTGAAATCAGTACTCGACTCATATGTTTACCATTATATGAGATACTTTCACATAAAGTTATATATATTGTATTAAATATATGACATTCTGTAGTCGGAATTTCGCATATTTGACAGAGAATGATTTTATAGATCAGAATGAATAAAGTATTTGAAAACAAAAGCCTCTCCAATAAATCTGAACTTACCAGTAATTAGGCCTCGAGGGTTTGGCTTTGAAAGACATGACACAATTAATTAATGGGACACCTGAAAGCATATAACTAAATAATAAAACAAATTTGAAGATAGGTGCATGACTACATAGAAAACAAAATACATATAAAGTGGTATTTCTCCACACACAAGCAGTATTACTCTGTTCCGGTCATGTGAGCGATCTGTGAGAGTTATATAGCATTACGCGGAACAGTAATTCTCCGTTGATTCATTTTCTGCTCAATGTCAGATTGTTTTTTGTTTGTTTGTTTTCTTGTTTTTAATTTCAATGAAACTGAATGTTTGAGTTAACTATAAGGAAGAGCAGGCTCAAATAATTTCGTAATAAAGTAGGTTAAAGATGTGTATGAATAAAACAACAACTTTGGCACATATAAAGGATGCTTCGGTTTATACAGTTTGTATTGAGGAATTGGTGAAGTGTGTGTCTTTTATATATGCGAATGGTCAACAGTCTTCATTGGGCAGTCTAATGATATACGTAATTTCTCGCTCCAATCCGATAAAAGCAAACATGTAAATAAAGTAAAAAAAAAACAACTTGAAGCGTTATACAAGAAAATAAAAGCTTGTTTGTTTTCGAATTACGCGCAAAGCTAAATGAGGGCTATCTGCGCTAGCCGTCCCTAATTTAGCAGTGTAAAACT